GACGCATTCGACTGGGGAGACTTCCATAAGGTGAGAGAGAACGTTGTAGTGGAAAAAGACTTTTTTGGTAACCCGTTCATCGGAACATGAACGCAAACTGGCGATTTCGCCTTGTTTCAAGGTTTGCGAACAGAAATTGCCGCTGCGTGCTCGGAAGGGTCGACTTTCTAGCGAGTCTAAGCCACGTCATTTCTTACGAGACAAAGCCATGTCGGTGCTGCCTAGAAGAGAGGGTGACATGTTCTAACATTGACCAAGTCTTGATGCCTTGGGAAGAAGGGCAGACACTCCGCTTGAAAGTGGTCCCACCAGGGACGTATAGCGCCCAGAAACCCCGACTGTTTTCGTAATCTTCAAAAAACCATGTCTCGACTCCAGCAATCAAGGGAAAGCCATGACAGATCAGCTTAACTGGCATGTTACTTATAAACTCTACGAAGGTATTTGATGCGACGGTTGGATAAGGGAGTTTTATAACTAAAGAACCTCACTAATTAGTGCACTGCTCCTCATAATACGGTGAGGGGAAGCGAAATAATGACGAAGGTTGAACTATTGTGAATCTTCACACATCTTGTATCAGTCTGAGAATCCTAATATTAAGCTGCTTGTTTAATTTTCTTCGTGGTCTCTCTGAAATGTGTTGCTAACTGGTACAGTCTGAGCAAATGATTTGGAAAAAAAGTACCAGGTTAGTGGCCGCGGCGCGAAAAACTGTTTTGCTAGAAACAATGTGGTACAACAGATTGCGAAGGAAAGGGCTAACTGCAGATGCTCTTTAGGAAGCTATGACTATGGCTGTTCCTGACACGATTTTTTTCAGGTGGCTGTAATCTTCTTCTCATTCTTCGGACCGATGGTGATTCTCGGAGCAATCGCCTTAGCCGCCTATTTCGCTTGCATCCGATCTTGGTATGTGTACAAGGCGATCAGGGCACAGCATCACGTTGGTAGAAATTTGAAAATGTTTGACCCTCTCGCTCTCCTCGAAGTTTCTACGGGAGCTTTAGCTATGTATTTCTCTAATAGTTTACCGTCGAGGAGGGGGGGGGGGGGTAGGGAGGTCCACTTTATAACATGTACCACAGTCTCCGACAAGTAAAGCGACCGTGTATTGGTAGTTTTGCCGAATATGAGAGCCCTAAATGGAAAGAAAGTTTATCGGGAGCAATTAAGAGCCCCCTCCTCAGCGGCCAAATGGTCACACCGTTAAGTTGTAAGAGGTGCTGTGCCCTGAAGCCGACAGCCACTTCGGGAATCTTTCTTCAAGTTGTCATAACACGCCTAGCCCAAGCTTTTTTCAAATTTCAGGTACGAATCTTTTCGAGAAGAAGTTCATGAGACACATCGATCGTTCCATCCGTGGCCACCTGGTTCAGCTAAATGGCAACTTCAACAATACCGTGAGTTCACACAGACCATACCAGTACCAGTACTAGATCTAGTCATTTGAAAATTAGGAGCTAAATAAAAATTATTCCAAAATTTAGTGAAAGGCAGCGGTCCACCTCCGACTAAGCAGCTGAAGGCGACTCCGCCACCAGTGATCCATAAACAAGTACCAAGTCCCATCTCACCAGGACATCTCATCTCACCAACACCCTCTCGCTATAGTAAAGTAGGTGAATTGTGGAATGAAGTTAAGAGTTTTTCTATTATATGCAACATCTATTGGCTCTATTGGTTTCTTGGGGTGCAAAAAGCGATGTTGGCTTGAAAAATTAGCGATGTCTCAAGCAGTAATACTCTTCCAGGAAGACTATCCGGGGTCTTTCCATGCCAGACAAGAAAAGTTGCCATTGAATTTTCAAAAAATTCTTGAAGAGATGTCCATTCAATTATCTAACCATGACTCAACAACTCAACTCGTATACAGCAAACTATTTTTCTCTAAGAAATCTCTAAGAAAATCCCTATCCCTTTAATCTGGAACTCTTGTTCAAGTATTAAGTTATCCCCGTAAATTGATGGTACTCAGCAGTAATTCTCATGCTACTACACAGAGTTTTGATGGCAACTAGCGCACTTCCTGCTCCTGGGGTAAATTTCGGGGAAGTACGACCTGCCCTCCTCCAACGATGACCAAATGCGACGCTACCCCTTTCCCACTGGAGTTCTTCCAACAATGTGCATAGCGCGCGGGAAACAGGAAAAATCAACTATCAAAAAAGTTTTCTCGTGGGATTCCCGAGGCATGGCGTACCCTGATGCTACCTCGCGTTCGCTGGCATTACGAGGCCTAACCATAAGAGATAAGTTACTGGTTCGATCTTTGTCCGAGACGAATCTCCGCTTCTTTCCTAGCCCCTTGAGTTCTGCTTATTGTTAGCACGTCACAATAAGAAAATGAACACTTGGCACCTATATCGAGTGATGCGTCCCATCTTGGCCAGCTTGAGGCGGTCCGTACAGTCGAACTGAAGTCCACTGAAACAGCTGGTCTTGAAGCTAGTGAACAGTTAACAAGACCAAGGTGATTTGATAAAGAAAGATCCTATTCCAAACCAGCTCCTAGCCCTCTAACTCTAACCTACTCCTAAATTACTACTACTCCTAACAAGAGTTTGAACTAATGCGTTTTTGATCGCGATTAAGCGAACAACTGGTCTGCTTTGCAGGCTTTCAGGACTACGAAACTCGAAGGTTAAAATGGAAGCGCGATCGACCTGAATCAGCACTCTTTTCAAAGCACCGACCTTGATTTCCAAAAGACTTCGATTGTGAATTAGGTTGAGTTGAAAAGACTAATGTTTCAATTCATCTGTGAAGTTCAGCTCGGTAGCGATAACCCGACATAAGGGGAACTAGGAGAATGACAGGTAGCCTGGTTCGGATACTATGTACCAATGCTAAACTATCACTTATTACAAAAAGCTGAACTGGTAAAATAACAATGAGGCATCAGCCGTTTCCTACGGCCTTCCCCATGAAACGAGAATGTGATCATCTGTTCCGCGGGTTTAAAAGACAATCTACGAGTCAAGTTGTGGTGGGTTAAAGGGTTTCGTCAAATGGATCACGGGATTTGCAAAGCAAACTGCCTTCACGTTGTTTTGACCCAGTCTAAACTCGCTCTCCTTATGTCTATCTCCAAAAAAATTCGTCAACGCTAAAAATGAGAACAATTTATCAGCCGTTATGTCGCTGCATAATGAGAAGCGCTCTGACCATGAGTGTCGATCGACACCATGAATAATCGATGTGTTTCTGTCTTGCTCAACGTCTTTTGTTGGTTTTCTACACCTGCTTCGCCCTTACAGGCAACTTGGCTGCTCAAACAACACTCGCAATTGGTGTTCTTTAGCCCCTTGAGGTAGGTTCTCACGATTATTCCCCCATATGCACCTATCTTCCCCCTATCTTGAAAGCTCCCATACAAACCCTCACATGAAATGATTTCTATTTTTTCAAGAAAATTCATTTAAATAGTTGAAGTGCTTTTCTTGACCATTGGTTAATTACAAATTATTTAAATTGGAGTAAAGAGGAAGGCGAGTTTAGAACACTGAGCCAAGGTATCCACGCTCCCCGGAAACCAAGGCTGATTCTAACGATGGATTGTATTTTATTGCTGGAGCCGGGGAAGGGATTTCCCTAGAAAAATGTTTTCAGTTGTTGTCATTTCTCGGTCTGGCCAATTCCTATATGCTATACATTTCCTCCATGATCGATAGCAACATTTTGGGGAAAACTGGAGAATTTTGGCAAAACTAGGGGAAGATGGTGGGGAGTTGGAAGAACATAGAAAGATGGCAGATGGGATAGGGAACGGGGGAGCGGGTCAAAACAGAGGTGAAAATTCTCAGGGGGGGGAGACCAATTCGATTAAATTAAATCGTCCACCGGCAGAACGTGCCGTGTCTGAAGCAAAAGGTTTTCAGCCACCACCCATTCAACTCTCACAAGCGTCTCTACAGCCACCGCCTTCATTCGTGCAAGACAATATGAACAACCAGCGAGAAAAGGTATCGATGCCGTCGCTAGCATTACTTTTACTCCAAATGCCTGGTTTAGGGAGTGTCGCCTCAGCCGTTGGAGATTTACTGCGGTCCTTCATCCACTTACCTACCATACATGGTCAGCAGTCCCAATGAAAGACCAGGTAAGACAGTCTTTGAATTGTTCTGCTGATTTACCTTCGCCTTTTTTGGGCTCATAAAGTCAAGCACCATCTCGTGAAAAATTAAAAATCCTATTCAGCGTCTACTCAATTCTCTCCCAACTATACGATGGTAGAGAGTGGTCCTGAAAATGGTGTGATGAAAGTACTACCGCAGCCGTCAATCAGTGGCAAGTGCTTTTTTCCTCAGGACGTCCCTTTTTCCCTTATCTCCCACCCATTTTTTTCTACTGGTCATTCAGCAGTGAAAGCCTACACGATGTTGAGCCTCGTACCACTTTCATCCATGTCAAATCTCATTCACTACTGCCCAGGCCCTTCCTCCTCCAAATAGGAATCAGAAGATTTGATGGAAGTTAGATTTGATAAAAGAAACATCCCAAAAGATCAATGTTATGGGAGAAATTTAGTCTGTTTCGCTGCTCCCTTAGGGAAATCATCTTGGTCGAACTTGAGGTTGAGGAAAAAATACACAGGAAACCATCCCTTCCCTTCCTCAGGCTGGGTACAGCATTGGGATGATAAGCATTGGGATGTATGAGGAGGTGGCAGGGCGAGATACCAGTACCACCCCACTCCTAAGATGGCCCCATGTTTTCCCAACTTCTTACCCTTTTTTCTCACCTAAGTGGAAAAAAGCGCCGTCGAGTGGAGAAAGATGGTCGCTCGGGAGAAGCCAACAATCAAAAAAATTTCATTGCGGATCTATCAGGGGCATACACGACCCCTTAATGGGATTCTTTCAGTGATGCGGTGCAGTTCCGACTGCGAGGATTGGAACTGTGTGGATTTCGAAACTTATAGACACGGTCAGTAAGTGTAGAGGTCAAGCCATTCGAAAAACCGTATGGAAGTAACTGCCATTCTGAATGGAAGTGGAATGAAGTGACCCCCCCCCCTATAGGAATTCAATAGCGCCGAAACTTCTCCTTTACGCTTTCAATCTTTCCTTCTGATATGAGCTGTTTTAGGAGCTGGGCAACAACTTGAAGCGATTACGGTTCGTACAACGACAACAACTCGACGGACAATGGTGCTGAGCCCAGTACCGAACCAATCATACACTATCGTGTAGCAGACAGGAAAAGCTCAGCCTTCGCTTTCACACTTCTTACAAGTTTTCCTTTGATTTATCAACTTAAAGACAGTTGGCACGATAGTACTCAGCCTAAAATGCTAGCAGGACGCTATCTAGTGGGAAAATGGCGAAAAAACGAAGTGAAACGGTCAAAAACTGCGAAGAAAAGTTCTTGAGAAGCAATTTCGGACGAGTTTCCCGTAGGCGTATTGCAAATAACCGCTCCGGCAGGTACGGCTGCATGTATGTACTCATATATCCATTCAGCACCGCAGCCGCTTCATACCAATCCCTT